ATCGGGTGCTGCCCAAGCTAACGCTGCCACGGGGGAGAGTGCTGAGGGCCATCTGTCCCTGGGGAGGCCCTGTGGGTTGTCTAGGAGACTGGAAATTTCCAGTGCCCCAGGCACACTCGGATTGGGGAAGCAGACTCCTAGCGGGAGCAGGGCAGCTAACCCGAGCTGAGGATGGAGCCGGCCTTGAGGCTTCGCTAGCCAGTTAGTGGCTCTGTGAATCTGAACAAGTGACTTGACCTTCCTGAGCCGGTCGTTCCATCTATAAATTGGGAACAATGATGACTTCCCTGTCCATCTTTCAGGGTTAGAGTGTGGCTTAGTGGGGATAATATTACCTCCCACCAGGGAGCGCGCACCATGGGCCAGGCACCGTGCCCAACACTTGACCTGCATCATCGCATTTGGTCCTGACCGCAGCGCTCAGAAGCAGCCAGCGTATCCTGCCCACTGCGGAAATGGGGCTCATGGAGACACCCGGCTTTCAGGCCTCACAGAGAAGTAAACGGTGGTGCTGGGAGTTGAACCCTGATCTGACTCCAGACATCCCCCTCCACGGAAAGCCCTCTGTTAGTATAATTACTGTCGGATAGCATGGCATAGAAGGCAGCTCATAAGCAGTTTACTAAATTCTCTTAATTCTGGACCTTGCTGCAGAAAGGAATTCTTCTCCTCGGGCCCCAGGCAAGGGTTCAAGGGCTCAGCTGAAGGGCTTGCGGATGCTTCACATGAGACAGGGTTCTGTGGCCCGCCATCTGTTTTTATAAACACAGCCACAGTGGTTCATTTACATTTTGTCTAAGGCCACTTTTGCAAGACAATGGCTGACTTGAGTACTTAGGACAGAGACCTCACAGCCTGCAAAGTCGATTTACAGAAAAAGCTTGCTGATCCCTGATTTGAAACATGCAAGGAAATGTCCTAGATGCAGCTCTGGCCTTTGAAGTCCAAGGCAGCAAGCCAGGGGAGTCCCTCTCTGAGCACTGGTCAGTATGTAGGAAAACTGGTTTTTCAAAGGAACCCTGGAGACATCTTCCATTGAGGGGGGGGGGCGGGGGTTCCAGAGAAACGCTGGCTGAGTCAGTAGTCCCTTTTAGGACCAGAAAAGAAGATGGTAAGTCTTCTCTGCCATTCCCTTTGGCAGTCAGCTGGTACAGGCCCACTCTGGTCAGAAATCTGGGGTTGTATATAAGCACCTCAGAATGGCTGCTTGCGTCGGCCAGGACTTGTGGGAGAATCTGAAACGTTAGGCATCTAAGTAGCTATGGCTCATTTTATACCAGGCCTGGGGTCCTGAAAAGCCTTGTGTGTGGCCTGAGTCTGTTTGCCTCCCTTATCTCTTTCATTTCAGGGGCTGCCTAATTTCTAGGTGGATTTGAAGCGCTGTTGTTTTTCAGGTTCATCTGCCCACCCCACCCCCTAACCCTTCCAGGTCTTGGTCCAGAAGTAATCAGTGAACAAAAAGTGAACTCCTTTTTCTTTTTTCCCTCTGTATTTTCAAAAACAGCCCCCTAGGGGGCTTCCCTGGTCGCGCAGTGGTTGAGAGTCCGCCTGCCGATGCAGGGGACACGGGTTCGTGCCCCAGTCTGGGAAGATCCCACATGCCGCAGAGCGACTGGGCCCGTGAGCCATGGCCGCTGAGCCTGCACATCCGGAGCTTGTGCTCCGCGACGGGAGAGGCCACAACAGTGAGAGGCCCGCGTACCGCAAAACAAAAGCAAAAACAACAACAAAAGAAACACAGCCCCCTACTCTGATTCTATTGTATTTATTTGGTCAAGATATCTCCAGATGGTGACAACCCATATGTCCTGCCTTCTTTTGGTTTGATGTCTAATTATCTTTACAGAAAGCCACCAGCTTTCCTTCCCCTCATCCTCTGCCCCAAGGAGGTCAGACTTGCCTCCACCCACTTGCATACCGTGACTACATATGCCTGGAGGACCCTGGTGGCAACTCCCCTTCCTTGTCCCCACATCCACTGTGCACCATCCTCCTGCCAACTTAACCAAAGGCAACTGGGTCTTCTGGGGCCGGTGTAAAGCTGGTGTCTCCGTGAGCCTTTCTCTGATCCCACCAGTCCACACCACGCCATCTATTTCCAGTGCACTTACTGGGATTTAAGTACATTTTGTACTTAAGTCTTCTCTCTAATTAGGGGACCTTCCATAGTACCATAGAAAGAGTTTACATTCTAGAATTCAAAGTCCAGATTTTAGATTCACTTACTGGCTGTGAGCCTTTGGGCAAGTTGCTTCAACTCTCTTAGCCTGTTTTCTCATTTGTAAAACGGGGATCTGTGTCGCTCAGTTGTTAGGATAATAAAATGAGTTGATATTTTTTAAAAAGAGCTCTGTAAACTGTTAAAGGGCTACACACTCACGGATCGGTATTAAGTTGCCCTGCCCTGCCTCCGCCCCCTTCTCCTTGGTTTCTTGTGAAATTAGAGCTTTGGGGGTGATTAGGGCGGTAACAGACCAACCAGCATAAAGCCAGCCCGCCCAAAACCTTCTTGCCTAAAACCAGTTCCTCTGACAACCAGTTTGCCTAAAAGTCAAAGTAGTAATTTTGAAAGAAGGCATTTTTGTACCAATTTTCCTAAGAGGCACTTCCAACACAATGTCATATTTTTACATCACTATGTCATAATCTGCAACATTCTGTCAATGATAAGATTGCTGTGCACGCTTGTGGGTGGCATTTTCTATTTTATCATTCATTGAGCAGTTTCATGACTTTTTAGCAAGTGTCTGAAGACCCTTTCTTCAAATTGTATATTTCTAGAACTGAATACTTGTCAGATCTGTAGAATTTTCCACAAGATTTATCGAATGCACCTTTTGGATCACTCCTGTCTCCTTTTTGCTGGGTTATACTCTGAATCGTGTATACCTGTGTGCACCTAATGAGTTGATTAACCAAATTAGCATGTACCCAATGTTCCTTCCTGCTCTCCAAGATGTTGGCATTTTGACAAGCGTGAAGACGTGAGACAGATGGGGCAGAACTGCATCGAACTCCTTGCATTTTATTTCTCAGGCTATCTTGTGCATCAAGCAACTCTACTTTGTGAAACGTAGAATGATACATACGAAGTCATTACCAAATGTATTTATTGCAGGAAACAGAACATTTCTCAAGAACGGTAACTGGCTACAAAGTCCCGAGAGTGTTCAAAAGTAGATAAAAATAGAAGAAGACACACACCAAGGATATAAAACAATTTTTAGTAGAAATCCCACCTTTAATCAGAATGTTCTCAAATAAATTTTTTTAAAGGTCCTTCAAAGGACACTGCAAAAAAAAAACAAAATTAGGACACTCAGATGCCAAAACACTTAAAAGTGGACTGCACTTTATGTGAACTGGTCATTAAGCACAGGGATTCCTTTTGTGAGTCTGTGGCAAATTAGTTTGAAGCCATTGGACCTGGAACCGATTTAGGAGGCAGGCACTTCCCTCCCTGCACATGAAGTTCATGGGCACGGGGGGCGGAGGGGGGCCGACCATGGATCTCAGCGGAGAGGTGTGCCCTTCCTGAACGTGACCTCCAAGAGTAAGGGCGAATTGTCAGCTTTTAACTCTTTATTATAAAGACATATTTACACTGAACAATCTTTACAAACACAGTGAACACAATTAGGGGAAAGGGACGATTTCTTAATGAAAAGCGCCTTAATAACTTTGTATAAATTAGTATAAGAATCATACACAACCACTTTAAATAAGATGGCCCCTCAGCACCTCCACTGCCCTGTGTCTCCAGACTTTCCCAGCCGTCCCTCTCCCGCTGCCCACAGCCCACCCCCGCTCTTCCCCCTGGGCTGGGCAACCCATGCGACAGGAGATGCAGAAAGGAACAGAGGGAAGAAGGCCCAGCCCCAGTGGGGACATCCGTGGCAGAAGAGGCTTTCTGGACACTGGCCAGACCCCACTCTGGGCTGAGGGGCGTTTGGGGGGGGCGGCAGGTGCCCAGCCTGGCTCCCCAGGGTGGCCTTAAAGCAGCAGTAGCAGCAGCGTTAGCAGCAGTGGAGGGAAGGGGGAGGGGCGGGTAGGCAAACGTTGGGGTTGCTCTGGGACTCCGGGGGCCATGACTCCCCCTGCCCCACACGTACATAGGTGGCCATCAGGCTCCTGTCTTCCCTTTTCTCCCTCCCACGAGGCCTTTGAGAAGAAAGCCTGCTGAGATCTACACTTCCTCCCATCTTTCCTTCCTTCCTTCCCCCCTCCCTTCCTTCCTTCTTTGTTTCCTTCTTCTTCTCCCCACTCCCTGCCTCCTCAGGGAAAGGCCACTGGGAGAAGAAGGTCCAGTCAACGTGAAGGGAAAGCCACTGAGTCCAACTGGTTAAGGCCACCTCCTGATTCCTGGTAGTCTCGGTGCCTGAGCTGCCCCTATGAAAATACCCAGGGTCTGGGAGTGCTGCAAGGAATGGGGGCAGCTGGCCAGTCAGGGAACTTTCCAGGCCGGGTTGGGGAATGGACCAGAAGGGGCAGGCCAGGGAGGAGGGAACAGCTCCGTCCCACCGTGGGGCAGTTCACAGCCGGCCCCCTCTCCCTTCCTGGCCACCCCCAGCCCCAACCCCGGGAAAAGGCACTTAATGGGTTTGGAAGACATCGTCAAGAAGAGGGCATCATCACGTGGGAGTTCGGAGACCTGGGCCCTCGTGCTGGCTCTGCAGCGGCACTGGGCAGGTCACCATCCCTCTCCGAGCCTCCGTTTCTGCAGGAGTTTGCATAAGGAGGTGGCGCTAAGTGAACTCCAAGTTCCTTTTGGCTCTGATCGTCTGTGATTCTTGGCAAAACCAATCATCCTAGTTGGCTTTTGCTCCTGGGAGGGTACAGAGCCACCTGAGGCGCATACCCTCCCCTCCTGAGTTGGAGCTTGAACCAACTTGGGGGGGGGCGGGGGGCGGGAGTGAGTGGGAGGGACTGCTAGGCGGCACAGTGAGGCGAGAGAAGTGACAAAGTACTTCACGGCCCCTCTCCTTCACCTCTTCCTCAACCGGGCCAAACATGGGGATGAGGAAGAGGCCACAGTAGCTATTCCTCCTCTTCTCCGATGCTTCACTCCCCCTTCGCCAGATCGCCAAGCTCCCGTTCCCATGCCCCCAAGGCACCCTGTCTGCGTCCCAACGACCCGGTCCCTCTCACTGGAGTCTCTCATTGCTCCGCTCTCTATGGCCCTCTGGAGGCCTGGGGGGGAAGTGCTGATGCAAAGCCGTGGACTCTGCTGGAGCCCCATTAAAGAAGGGCGGGTTCCACCCAGACCCCAGGGCATACCTGAGGCAGGAAGGGCCGAGAGAAGCGTTCGATGTTAGGGTATTGGACACAAGAGGTAGGGACTAGAGCAGAGGGAGGGCTGCGGAGAGGAAGGACGGCCTTCCAGTGCAGGGTCTCCCAAGTCACGAGGGGGCACTGAATGGGTCCTTGCTAGGGGCAGGAGCACGCCAATCCATTCGGGGAGGCTGGTGGGGGAGAAGAGCCGGACCGTCAGCAGCTAGAACAGGGGCCAGATGAGGCGAACGGATGGGGGGGCTCCAGAGAAGCAGGCCGATCGACGGAGGAGTAGAGAGAATCACGGGGGGCGGACACGTGGTGGCCCCTTCAGTCCTAAAGAGGAAAAATGACCAGAGAGGGGTCATTGACGTGTCCTAGGTCAAAGGAACCGCCTGGGACAGGAGAGGAGACGGCCTTCACCCGCCCTCCCCACGAGCCTGAACCTAAAGCCCCAGGCCACTGAGTCGGTGCCACCCTGTCCTGGCGACAGGGGGAAGGACAGCAGGCCAGGCCTCAGGGGCAGGCTCAGGCCCTGCTCTCTCCTTCCCACATCTCCGGGCAGCTCTCTTCCTGTTCTCTGCTAGCGGCTACCCCCAAGGATCCCTGCCTTCCCTCCCGCCTCTGGTGAGGATCCACACTGCACACCTGCACATATACCCTGGGGCACCTCTCCCCAGCTCATCAAGGCCCTCCAGAACACTCCAGCTGGGCCAGCCAGCCCAACCCTAGGCAGCAGAGTGGAGGGCAGCCAGCACCTAACTCCTGGGGAGTGTCAAGCCCCTCTCCGGCCTTGGTCTCCTGTCTAAACTGAAGGTGCTCTGTAAGCCCCGGTGTTACGCATGGGGCCGGCACTGCCTGGTGCAGGTGTCTGGCCAGCGGTAAGCAGCAGGGCCACCCGGCTTCCAGGCTGTTCCTCCCCTGCCCTTTCTGTGCCGCCCACTGACCAGAGGCTCAAGTACCTGCTTCAGAAAGGCATGGGGCCCTTATGGGAGAGGCGCGGCCGCTGGCGGCGGAACTTCCTCCGACCTCCCTGCCAGGGCCCTGGGCCGCTCCTCGGCCCTCTGGGCTGCACCAGGTGGCGGATGGTGCCTTCCTCCATCCCCTTCCCGTCAGAAGTCTGCAGCAGGGGCCCTGCAGGAAGGAGAAAGCCTGTCATCCCAAAGGCTGATGCAGATGGGCCAGGGTCCCAGAGGAGGGGCAGTCTCTCCATGAGGTGGCGCTCTCAGAGCTTTTGTTTTTCCTCTTCCAATCAGTGAACCGATGAACCACTTGCAATGTTTACACTGTCCTGGGGCAAACAGAGCCCACTACTCACATTTACAAATTATACACCTGACTAGATGTCCTTTTGACAGTCCTATCATGTTTCTGATGGGCACAAACACGTTCTGTGCTCAGAACATCATCGGGGGGTGCAGCTTGGGGTATCATGCCTGTACTCAGGCTGGGGCACAGCAGACGATAACTTCCCACTGCACCCTTGTGACTGATACACTTAAAACATTTCAAACACACAATATTTCAATGAAAACAACTCCCCCCATCACGTGCCTATCACCCAGATTCGACAGTTATCCAGATGGAGTTACATATGCTTTGGTTCTCCTGTTTCTTTCTTTGCAGAGGTATTTTAAAGCAAATCTGGAACATGATGTCATTGTACATCCTTTGATACGCAGGTGACCCACTTTTGAGTACTAGAGCTCTCATACCTCACCCCTGGGCATCTCATCAGTGTTTGGCCATTTTGGGGCTCACTTGTTCCTGTGGCCTCCCTGTGGGTGTGGCTGGGGGATTGTTTGCGGGGCGTGGGGGCGAATCTCTGACTCTGTGTGCCTTATGCTGGGTTCTAGTCAGCCTGTGACCAGATTCAGAGGCCAAGAAATATTGTACAAATGAATGAGTAAACAAATGAGTGAATGTCACCTGAAGCAGCAAGTGCGTCGGGAGGGGGGTGGGCTGCTAGTATTGCCCCGCCATTGCCCTACCTCCTTTCACCCCTAGATCATACCCCCATCCTTTGCCTGATGCAAATTCCTTCCATTCCAATCCCAGCTGGCTCCTTTTCTGCTCTAGGGGGCTCTTCTCTACATCTGTCCACATCTGGCTTAGAGGAGAAGCCTCCTGATGCCAGACCAAGCCCTGCCAATAGAATCCAAGTGGCGCTGGGTGTTCCTGGGTGCGATGAGGGAAAGACACACGATGAGGCCCCAGGGGTACAGCAGGCATGAGAAGAGAGGCACAGTGCCCAGATGGGGAGGGTAGCCTCTGCAAATGCTGAGACCCAGGACTGTGAGTGGTGGTGGCAGTCAGGGAGGGCGGGCTGTTGGGGGGAGGGGTCCCTAAGAGACAGGGGAGGCCCAGAGCCAGGATGAGGAACACGGCTGGTGGGCTCAGACTCTGGCCAGCGAGACGTCTGGACTCTAGGGCTGCAGAGAAGAGCTACCTAAGCTGACCGAGCTCTCAGCCACCTCTCATGGAGGCTGCAGTCCAGCCAGGTCAGGCGAGCTGGCGCTCCACAGACAAGCCAGCCGCCAGAGGCAAGCAGAGCAGGGAGATGCGATGGTGCTGGGCAGGAGACAGACAGGCAGAGTGCCTGTGCGATGCCCAGGATGGGGCTGGTCTGCAGAAATACAGCTTCTGAGGCCAGTGATCATGAATCCCAGTCTCCCTCTCCGCACACCATCGGGTTCGCCTCCAGCTATATCCCTGTCTCTCGAAACCTGTTTCCATCCATCCAGGGGTCTCCACCACTAGCTCACAGTTTCCATATAACCACCCATTGGCTGCTCGCCCCCCAACCATACCCCTGGCGGCTCTTCCTTTCCTTCCTCCCTGCCTCCAGCATCCCCACGCTCCGGTTCCTTCCTTGGCTGTTTGACTCTTGTGATTCCTCCTCCACTTGCACACAATTTCCAGGCATTTATCCTCCTCTTGGGCCAAACGCAGGCAAGGATTGTCCTTAGGGCCCTCCCTGCCCAGGCCCCTGGCGCCTGCTGCTGTCCACGCTCTCTCGCCCAGACACGCACGCACACACTCTCTAGCCCTCCACCCTCCCTCCCAGAGAGAACGTCACAGGCCCATTAGGACCCCTCTGTTTACCAGCCACCCTTCATGCTTCTGGTTGGGGGTGGGTTACCGTGTCAGTTCCTCCCCTAAACCCATCACCTAATGTAAATTAAAACACGAGTTGTGTTTGCACTTTGGGGCAGTAGGTATGGACAGGGGCAAGGAGGCTGCTTTCGCCTGTCATAGGGCTACCCTCTGAGTGCCATCTGCAAAGGGGCTGCACCGGGGAGGGAGAGGAGGGAAGCCCCTTCACTAAGCTCCCCACCGCAGCTGCTTCAGCTTCTGCCTTGTGTTTTGGAGTCCCCTCGAGGCTGTTCTGCCCTCTCAAGAGGACAGGAATGATACTGATGAGAAGTTGGTACCAGAGAAACTCTCAGGGCGAAAAGGACTGCGCTGAGGGTGTGGCCAGGCAAAAGGAAGGACCCTAAGGGCCTTGAAGGTGTCAGTGAGGTCTTGGTTCTTGTGTTGCAGGGATGGCCAATGGCACAGGCTATGGCCCGAGGGGTAACAGCAGGCATGAGAAGAGAGGCACAGTGCCCAGATGGGGAGGGTAGCCTCTGCAAATGCTGAGACCCAGGACTGTGAGTGGTGGTGGCAGTCAGGGAGGGCGGGCTGTTGGGGGGAGGGGTCCCTAAGAGACAGGGGAGGCCCAGAGCCAGGATGAGGAACACGGCTGGTGGGCTCAGACTCTGGCCAGCGAGACGTCTGGACTCTAGGGCTGCAGAGAAGAGCTACCTAAGCTGACCGAGCTCTCAGCCAGGCCCTGGAGAGCAGTCACCCAGAAGACCCTGCCACCTTGCATCCCACTGGATGGGGGGGCTCACTCTCCTCCTTGTAGCCGGAAGTCTGCAGTTCCTCCCCCACCCTGATTCCATCATCCACCTGTTTCCTACTTTTGATTCTGAGTCTGGTTCACCCTAAGATAAGCTGACACCTGAAACCCTAGCTTTGTCCTGTCCAAAGGGACAAATCAGAGGCTTTTGATTCTCATCACTGCAGAGGTCCCGGCAGTGATACAAAAGAATTCCCCTGTAGAAACGGGCCATCCCCAGTGTACTTAAATACTTTCCTCTAACGCATCTGCTACTTACAGGAAGGCTGGGGCAATCCCGCAAAGAGTCGCGAGCCTAGAGGGACCGAAGCGCCATCAGCAGTGAAGCTACAGCATCTCCACCGTGAAGCGCAGTCAGGGGTAAACAGGGCTTGCGTTTCACGCAATCTAAACTCCAGCCCTGCCCGTTCACAAAGAGGTGTGTGCCGCTTCTCAGGAACACACCATCCTCACTAGGAATGAAACATCTTTTTTTTTTCCCTCTTACCGTCCGGCCTGTCTTGTGATTGCTTTAAAAGCCCATACAAGTGCCCTTGTGGCACTGGCTATGTCCCCTCCACTGCTCTGGGGTCCTGCATGTGTCTCCAGGATGAAGCGCCCCTCCTTTGTCTGCCCAGCCCAGTGCCCTGAGCCGTCTTCCCACGCCAGCCATGCTGCTGTGGACACATCACGCCCTGGCAGCCTGGTCATCCGCTTCACCTGCATTAGTCCATTGCCGCTGAGAGGCCTGACTCAGGTTACCTGGGTGCTTAGTTCTGAGGCATTGGGGATGGAGTGGAGATGCCCCCTCCCTGAGTGGGAGCGGTCCAGGAAGCTGTCCTCACGCTGTCATTGTGGCTGCAGGCCTCAGCTGGGGCCGGGGAAGGGCAGGAGGGGGACAAGGAAAGACACAGAGGTGCTCAGACAAAGACCAAGGGCTACTTGGCCCTGGCCCAGCAGCTCTCAGACTCAAGAGCAAAGTGTATCCCAGGTCAGGAGGCAGTGGAGGAGCCTGTGTGTGGTGGCGGGAGCGCATTCCAAGTCAGGACACGGCGTGTCATGAGGAAGCACGGATTTCAGGCCTGGAGCTGACTGGGGACTCTGGCTGGGGAGAGCATGCAAGTCCGGGCCAAGGGCAAGGTGGTTCCGAAAAGGTCCCTTGTTCTGAGCCAGGACAGGAGGCAGGAGGAGCAGGACGTGTGTCCCCAGACCCTGGGCTGGTGGCCACCTGCACAGAGGTGGCCCCCTTGGCCCCAGGACAGGACGGGGGTGGGGTGGGGGGACGTGGCAGGGGGAGGTGGAGAGGCAGGGGGAGCTTTGGAAGTTTCCAGTGCTAGGCTTAAGCATAAATGTGAGGGCAACGAATTTACCCAGATCCGGCTGTGGAGATAGGTGACCTAATGCAAAGGGTGAATGAAGCAGGGCGCGGTAGGGTCTGAGCCAGATGCGGCGTCCCCTCCCCTTGAAACCGGCTCCCCCTTTACCCGTAATGCCCCAACAGCTGGACCCTGAAAGGGTCCGGGTGCGGGCCAGTTAGCCAAGGGTCTCCCCGTAGGTTCTGGGGGAGCCGCAAGTGCGCAGATCAGGTAGGTCCAGCTTCCTCTGGGATGCCCTCTCTGCACCACTGTTTGCCAGTGGTGGTGTCCCGTGGGTGTCTTATCTCGCCAACTGCCCTGGATGGCAGGCCCGTGTGGTGTCCTTCATTCCTATCTTTGGCTCTCTTTCTGCCATTGCCTGCCTGACAGGAGTTTCTGAGGAAAAAGCCTGCTTCCTTCTTACCAGTGAGGTGGCTGAGCCAGGGCTCGGGCCTGAAGAGAGAGATCACTGGACAGCTAGCTAAAGGCAGGTAGTGCCAGACCCAGCCAGTGCGCCTTCCCGAGAAGCCGGGCAGGGCTCCCCGGGCCAGGGCAGTGCCAAAGGCAAGAGCGGAGAAAGGAGGTGACCTACAAAGAGAGAGGTGGAAGCCCCACCAGGCCCCTCAGAGGCTCCCGGGCTGCATCCTGTTCTGGAGGGTCTGGAACAAAGTACGGCCTTGGGCCCTTCCTCTAGGACACTTGCTGCCCTGCTCTCTCCTTCCCCCTGCTCCCACCTCCCCATAAGTCCAAGCCTGGCACTGGCATTAGTCCACCTGGTCTTGGCCTTCCTATTCTGTGTTGCCAGGCCGGCAGCAGTGACAGTCAGATCACAGGACTGTGGCAGCTGGAGGTGGGAGCTGGCAGCCACAGGAGACACTGACGCACAGAGGACAGGGAGCCCGGACTGGGACTGCTGGGATGTGGGTGGGGACCAGGCTTGGGGAGGGCAAGGGAGCACCAGTCAGTGCCAAGTATGCCAGGTGGGGGTGTGGTGCAGGTGAGGGCCAGCTGCATGGAGGTATCGGGTCAGGCGCTGTTTCCTGGTTTGGTGCCTGGAGACAAGGGGACTGAGGTGAAGCATGACCATGCCTGGGTCAGAGGGGGGACCGGAGCCAGAATCTCAAAGAACCAAGTCCCTGGGGTGGGACGCAGGCCTCTGGGAGAGCCTTCTGTGTGGGAGCAGGAGAGCAGACCAGACAGGACTTGGGGGTGAGGGAGGAGGCCAGCCTGACCTGGCCCTGCCCGGCCCAGCCCGGGGGAGGCTGCCTCTGCTCACTTGCAGGCTGAAAGGAACCACAGCTGGGCTCCACGCCGCCTCCCCCGCGGCGCGCTCCTGCCTATGCAACAAGTGTCACGTCTGCATCTTGGCACATCATCATCCCCCAGTGGCCCGCGCCCCCGGACCGGCCGGCGGCCCCTAACTTTCCACGCAGGAGCCCAACCCACCGGCCTCAGGTCAGTTCCCTCCAAGGATCCACGAGGGGAGCAGGACGTGCCCCCCACCATACCCTCCACCACGTGGGGAGCGGGGCGCGGGACACGGAGCGCACGCCTGCGGCCCTGAGCTCCTCGGACTGCGAGGGGCGGCCGGGAGGGGCCAGGCGCCGGAAGGTGATGCCCCAGGCCGAGCCGAGCCGAGCCGAGCACCCCAGAGGGAGCGATGCCCGCGGCCGGCGGGTCCCTGGCCCCGGGAGCCCTGTCCGTCGGCGGCCCGGCGCGTGGCGGCTTCTGCATGGCTCGCGCCCGGCTCCCGGGAGGCGGAGAGAGCGCGATCTTCGGGGCGGAGGGCGGGGAGCGCGCGGGCTGCAGCCCTGGAGAGCGGCGAGGGGGCCACGGGCGAGCGGGAGGGCGCGCACTCACCTCCACACACCGCGCTCAAGGAGAGCCAGAGCAGCAGGAGCGCCTGCACGCAGAGCCGCAGATTCATGCTGCTCCTCTGGCCGCCGCCGCCGCCGCGCGGCCCTGGCCAGGGGGCGGGGGCGGGGGTGGGGGCGGAGAGGCCGGAGGCCGAGGGAGGCGCGAGTCGCGGCTCGTGCGTGCGGGCGCGAAGCTCGTGTGGCTCCCGGGCCGCGAGACGGTACGCCCCGAGCCGCGCCGTGGGCTGGCCGGCCGCCGCCTCCTCTCTCCTGCAGCCTCCTCTCTCCCGCCGCGGGGCAGCGCCGCCCAGCTGGTCTCGGCGGCTCCGGGGGCGGCGGCGAGCTCGTTCCAAGTGGCTGGCGGCTCGGCTGTGGCTCCAACGGCCCGTGGCTCAGGCTGCCAGCGGGAATGCGCCCCGCTCACTCCAGGGGCTGCATTTTGTAGCCTGTGGCTTGGCCGCGAGCCCACTTGGTCATGTGGTCATCGGGAGGGCTGGAGGGGGGGCCGGGAAGAGGGAGAGGGAGCAAGCCTCCCGCACCGCCCCCCTCCCGGCACGCACTGGGCAGCCGCAGCCAGGGCGCGAGAGGGAACCTCGAGGTGGTCCCACAACAAAGGCTGCGAGGCCACTCTGACAGCCCACAAGCGCTCCCCGGACAATGCCCGCCTGGCCGGGGGCCAGAGGGTTTTGGAGACCTGAAGGATTTCAAACACAGGAAGTATTTGGGGCGGTGGAGGGGCACACTTAACCCTTTGTCGCCACGCTTCCTTAACAGCTGTCAAGAAACCTGGGCGCTGCCCCCACTCACCCCCGCTACCTCTGACCCGGTCCTTCCCCACCGCCGCTCCGCAGCCGCAAGGACTTAGCCGAGACCCTCACACACTGGCCCTCCTCTCTCCTCTGCATCTTCAGCTGGGTTTGAACTGTGCCCAGCGCCCCCATTTCTCCTACCATCCCCCAGGAGGCACCCTCTACCTGGAATGCCCCCACCCCACCCCATCCTTCCACAGACCTCTTCATTCTTACAGCAGCACCTCCAATCCCATCTCATCCAGAAGACTTGCCAGGATAACAATAATCCAGGAGAGGCTGCTCCTGGGTTCCTCCTAGCTGTCGGGACATGCAGCAGCTCCTATGGCATCCCCTCTCTTGTTCCCCATCATCACGACAAGGGACCATTTACCCAACTCCAAACAGTCTAGGCTGGATTCGTTTTTGCATGTACTTGGGATTCCCCTCTGAAAGTGGGTCCTGAAGTTGTTTGCCTTCCCAGACTAGGCTGTCAGCTCCTACAGCCTGGGAGCTCCTAAGAGAAGGAGCTGCCTCTTTCACCGCACAGGGAAGCCCCTAAGATAGGACCTTGTCTTCTCATTCTTCTGCCTCTCTCCAAAGTCCCCAATATCGGGCTCTGCACATAGGTGGCACTCAACACATGTTAAAAGACTGAATTGAAAGGTGTTTCCACATTTCAGCCAGCCAGGCAGTTTGCTTGAAGTGCGAGTCCAGATTTCCACAAAAAATTTGACATTGGACAGTGTGTGTGTACCATTAAAGATGCGAGAGACCACAGTAGACTTAACATGTTTTTGAAATGTTACAACAATCCAGCATATGCACAATTTTTTATCAGTCTCCATAGCAGGGATCTCTGCTTTGTTCACAGCTGCATCCCCAGAACTAGAACTATGTCTGGGGCATGGTTGGTGCTCCCGACATAATTTTGAATATATAAATGAAATTTTCAAAACCATTCCTATTGCCTAAATCAAGGTAGTGGGAAGGGGATAAGATAGGGTTCTTGTTCATAGCCTATGTCCGCATTAGCCCCAGTCCAGTAGGAAAAAGGCAGTGACATGGAAGGCAGAGCATCTCTCTTCATCCGTGAGGCCCAGGCGGTGAGCAGTGGGCATTAGTAGCGTGAGATCATTCCCCCTCTGCTGCCCCCTGGAAAGAGTCTTCCACCCAGGAGGAGAAACACCGGACCTCTAGTCTCCACCCTCCCCTGCCTCAGGGCCGTGCTGTTGTCACCTAAATTTGCGGCATCTCCTGGGGATGATGATCTCCGTGCTACCCCCTTCAGGGTTGTTATGGGATTGAATGAGATAATGTATCTGAAGGCACTGTGTAAATAAGGTATCAAACCTTGAGGGATGGTTTTTAGGAACCATGATCCTCCACTCCCTGACTGAACAAGCCCATACATTTGCAAATGAGCGCCCCCATAAGTAGGTTCCTAGAAGCGTTCATATTTAATCGCTCCTTTACCAGGGTGTGTATAGGCTATTTGCTAAGTGGTTTAAGGGCTGCCCTTTCCAATATGACTGATACTAACAACATTTAAAATAAAATGAAAACTTCATTTCCTCTGCTGCACTGGCCATATTTCAGTTGCTCAGTAGCCACCTGCAGCTAGGGGCCACTGAATTGGACAGCACAGAATAGAACCTTTCAATTATTGCACTAAGTTCTATTGGACAATGCTGGGGGAGAGCACCCCAGTCATTCTTTTTTCTGTAATTCTTTTTCCCACCTTACTTAGTTTTCAAAATGTGCAAGGGAACAACATACAAAGGCAAACCCAATACAAATTTAAGACAAGCAACTCTGGTTTTTTTTGTGTGTGTGTGTGGTACACGGGGCTCTCACTGTTGCAGCCTCTCCCGTTGCGGAGCACAGGCTCCGGACGCGCAGGCTCAGTGGCCATGGCTCACGGGCCCAGCCCCTCCGCGGCATGTGGGATCCTCCCGGACCGGGGGCATGAACCTGTGTCCCTTGCATCGGCAGGCAGACTCCCAACCACTGCGCCACCAGGGAAGCCCCTAAGGCAAGCAACTCTTAGTAAACAGAAGGCATGTATTTAAAACAAGATTTAAAGAGCTGACCATGTGGGAGAATTATGTTTTAATCTAATTCTTCTCTCCATTTAACCAAACTGCATCCATTTTTCCAGTCCTAGATCCAAGATCTCATCTTTCTCCTTTCTCAGGCTGCTCTTGCCCATGGTGGCTGTCTTCCTCATAACAGCTATGGCTGTAACTTTCATTGGCAGTGATTCTGGCCTGCACTTGTGTATCTGCACGCCATGTTCTGTAGGCCCGTAGAGAGGGTCCACCACCAGAGTACCCATTCCGGAACCAAGGCCTGTGAGGCAAGGGATGCAACTCTGATTGGTCACTCTGAAATCCTTGTGGGCTCCCGTATATCTCAATAGCATATATTCAAATGACCGGTTTTTATACTTGTCTCCACCCGCTAGACTTGAAGGTCACAGGAATGATAGCAACTCGCGCAGTGCCTGGCACAAAGTTGGCACTTGGAGACTGCTTGTTGAAGAGATAAGTAACTGTTGGTAGAGCTGTGTGCTGTCTTTTTTCAGGAAGATGACACCGTTGAGTTAATATCAGCAGAATCAACGTTTAAAGGTGTGGCTCCAAGAGTGGGGAGGAGGGGCAGGAAGCCATCCGCACCTCCCTGCCCTGAGGCAGCAGTGTCTGTAAAGTGCATTCCTGCGCTTGGGGCTCAGGCCTGTGGTGAGGGGCAAGACTCAGTTTCCAGTCAAGCTCAGGGGCAATTCTGGGGACAAGGGGTAGAATTCAGTGTACTGTTGGGGACAGAGATGAGATAGCTGACCTATGTGAAGCCAGCCTGTGACTTATTGCCCTCATTGGTGCTGTGCACAAGCTATTCAGTTCTGCTTAGTGTCCTATGTATGTCATCAACACCAGCCACTGCTGCTTGGTTGACTCGTCTGGCTCCCTGTCCTCTGGGTTTGAATGAGCAGTGTGGTGTATTAGAAAGAACTCAACTTTTGGAATTTCAAATAACTGAATTCAAATCCTGCCCCTCAATCTCAGCCCTCAGCTGTGTGACTTTGGGCAAGTTATCTAAACTCTCTGAGCCTAAGTTTCTTCAGTTACTAAGTGAGGGTAATAACAGTACCTACCTTATTATGTTGGGAGATTAAACAAAATAATGCACGTAAAGTACTTAGCACAGGTCCCAGCCCACGGTAGTTGCTCATTCAGTGTTAGTTTTCTCCTCTTCCTGATATGTTCCCCCACCCACCCACCTTTCGGCTCTGGCCTCTGACCTCTTGGAACTGATCAGGAAGGAACGGCTCTGTCTTTGCCCTGTTCCATCCACACCTGTCTTCTTAGTAGCCATCAGAACTGTTCACTATCTTATTCCCCCAAAGCACCAATCTCTGCTAGGGCTAATCTGATGAACGCACTTGATCCAGGGAGTTAATGCATGATAGTACTTTGAGGTTTTGCCTCCCAGGTATGGTATTATGATAGTAGTCCTATGAGGTATGTCCTATTCCCCGAAGTAATATCAAGCTCCACCCTTTCAAGCAAGGAGATATTTTAGTGACTTTCATTTGGCTGCTCTACATAGAGCTCAACTTGCTTCAAAGTCAACTCAGAAAGGGATCCCCTTTGGCAATTTACAACCGAACCTTCTTTTTTGTAAAAGTTTTTGTTGAGGTATAGCTAATTTACAATATTATATTAGTTTCAGGTGTACAACATACTGATTCAACATTTTTATAGGTTATACTCCATCTAAACTTATAAAATATTGGCTATATTCCCTGTGCTGTACAATATATCCTTGTAGTTTATTTATTTTATACCCAGTAGTTGGTGCCTCTTAATTCCCTACCCCTATCTTGCCCCTCCCCCCACCCTCTCCCCACTGGTAACCGCTAGTTTGTTCTTTATATCTGTGAGTCTGTTTCTGTTTGCTACATATATTCATTTATTTTTTAGATTTCACACATAAGTGATATCATACAGTATTTGTCTTTCCCTGTCTTATTTCACTAAGTGTAACACCCTCCAGGACCATCCCTGTTGTTGCAAATGGCAAGATTTCATTCCTTTTTATGGCTAAATAATATTCCATTGTCTATATATATATCACAGCTTCTTGGTTCATCTGTTGATGAACACTTAGGTTGCTTCCATATCTTGGCATTTGTAAATAGTGCTGCTATGAACAGTGGGGTGCACATAACTCTTAGAATTAGTGTTTTCATTAAAACCCAACTTTCAGCCTGCAGGTTCAGCCACTG